TCTTTTTTTTTTTTCCCCCCTTCCTTTTTGTCTGCCCCGCTTCCCCCCGAACCAAGGGCCCCGCCTTTTTTTTTTTTTTTTTTTTTTTTTTTGGATAGATTGACAAGAGTGCTGCTGGCTGATGAAATGTAAAGTAATATCTGCTGGGAAGAGTCCAGCTGATGTGGGTGGTGATTGGTGAGCAATCTGGCTGCTCACCATCCAAGAATCCTCAGTTTTTTGTTTTTTTTTTGTTTTTGTTTTTTTGTTGCTTTGAATTATTGATCAAACGTTGGCTTGAATTTGTTTACTGCGATAAGAGGACTCATTACCGCTTCAATCAATCATGCAGAAATCTAATGTTTGTGATCGGCGAAAGGCCCAGCTTTCAACAGGAAGAAGAAGAACTAGAAGAAGAACGACAAGGACGCGTTGGTTTCCATGCTTTTTTTTCTCCTTTGCCAGTCTTGGTTTTTTTTATTATAAACTTAAAAAAAGAATCTGATACAATAAGAAACTGCAGTAGTAACTCCCCCCCCCCCCCTTTTCCCCGGGGGGGGGGACAAAAAAAAGGGCTTTTTTTTTCCGGGGGGGAAAGGTTCATTGGACATCTACAGGGTGAACAGGTCAGATACAAAATAGGAAAAAAATAATAAAATACAGGGAGGAAACAGAGCACTATTTATATATATATATATTATTTAAACTCTTAATCTATTAACTTTTACATGTTAAAGTTTACATAGAAAATAAGATTCTTTTTTTTTTCTTTTATCACAATTAAATAGTCCCAGGTGCAAAATAAACTGCACGCAGTGGTACAAGCAAAGGACATCAGAATACAAAAAAAAATAAATATCTTCTTCTCCATCTTCATCAATTATCCACCCTGCTTTTACAGCAGCCTGCGTTTGAAACACCATCCAATGCAGGTTTTGCCCCACCAAAATACAGAAGTGAAGAAAAATCCCATAATGTTTTTCTTTCAGACACGCATGAATTTGAACGTTTCTCTTCTCCGCAGGCTATTTAAACCAGGGTGGACAATTGGATCTGGACCACATTCACTTTTATACTTTATTTTCCTCCAACCTCAATTCTCTCACAACTGCATGTGACAAACCGGAAGCAAATTCCTGGGGTTTGCTTTGTAGGGTCCAGAGAGGTAGAAACCCCCCAACCCCCCATTGGATCTTGAAGGGCGGTGGAAGAATTACAGGATGAGCGTCGGTGTAAGCAAAGACGGAGGGCAATATGGCTTTTGTTTAAGAACCTGAAAAGGTTCCGGCAAGAAATAAAAAAAATAAATAAAGGAGGATTTTTCTAAGAAAATAAATCATGTTCAAGCAAAGAATTTAGTCACAATTAGCCGGCTACAGCAGCGTGTTGCAGGATTGATTAACCTTTTTTTGCCACTACAAACTTCAATGTTAGTTTTGGGGAATTTAGCAAGAGATTGTCAAACATGTCGATACCCAATAGACTCTTCAGTTTTATCTTTTCTTAAAAAGATACAAATCTGGCAAAAAGCACACCAAAAATACATTGAAGCTTGAAATGTGACAACGTAGAAAAGTTAAAAGTGCTGTATGTCTGAGAGTGCAGACGGACAAAACACTTTAGGCTAAAGGTGGTACATGTCAGGCAGGAATTAGATGGAAGATTATATTATATTTAAATAAAAAAGGGGGACAAAAACAATATAATCTTAACTCTGATGATTTTTGGTTTACTTGTAAAATAGTACTATTTGCCCCAGGAGAGCACAGAGAGTGATATCTGCCATCTTTTTCCTCCACAGTCCTCACTGTAAACGTTCACTTCAAAACTTAAGAGAATACATTTACCCGTCTTTTACGAGACAAATGCTGTACAAGGTATGTTACACATTCAATACTTTATTCTGTACATCTTTATTTTGTCTCAGTTTGCATATATTCATGATACATTTCCGGAAAGAAAAACAAAAAAAAAAAAGTAAAAGAAATGGGGAAGGGTTTAACTTCAGGATGTACAAAACTAAAGAATCTGAGCATGAGAAGTTTATATACACAATCCTGGAGTCACAATCCCCAACCAATACAAATGCAAAGGGTCATTTGAAGATAATTAAAAAAAATAAACATGAAATTAAGCTGATGTAATTTAGAGAAAATAATTTTTGGGTCCTTATGCCAAATTTAACCAAAATTACAATGCGAAACAAACAATAATAGCTACACCTCAGGAAAAATATTCAAAAATATTTAAGAAAAACCAAAAAGTCTGATGGGATCTTTCCAACACAATGAAATGCAGGTTAGGCTAATCCAATAACCTTCCAACGTTTTTCAGGTTGTCTGAATAAAAATGTGCAACAACGAAGCGAGGGAAAAAGATGGGCTTAGCGCTGATGGCTGCGGTGACATCAGGAGACCCAGTGATAAAGTGCTGAGCGGCTGGACATGTGAAGGTTAACCTTTCCCTGCGGTAACCAATGACAACATACGATGCTGGGAGAAAGAGAGAGAGAGTCACATGTCCGACAAAGCCGTGCACACAGACATCGGTTCTTTATTATTTCTCTCTCTTTTTTTTTTCTTTTTTTTGCAGCTGAGAAAAGACTGAGCAAACCTGGGACTGTACAGAGGTGTTTTCTTTTTTTTTTTTTAAGTCTTGCAACAGCTTGAGAAAGAGACAGCAGGAGAATTTCAAGAGGAGAGGAGAGGATAGTGTAGTGTTTTAGTTTCACCGGGAACGTGCTCTGGGTTTCAACGCGGGACACGCGCGCTTTCCAGTACGCCCCGGACGACGCAGAGGCATCGCGCTCGTCTAGAAGTTTCTCTCCCCGTCTCCCTCCCTCTTCCTCCATGCAGAGGAAAAACCTCTCCTTCATAGTCAAAGTCATGCTAAGCCATTTATCACAATCCGCCGCCGCTGCTGCTCAGGCTGCTGCATCCCCTCCCCAACCTCCTGCTCCTCGCCCGTTCACCTTCACACACTGCTGACTGGAACATCGTGCGCGTCGATGCGTGTGGTGCATTTGTGTCTGCACATTTCCCTGTGTTGTGTTCCCCCTCCACCCCCCACCTTCTTTTTAATTAGAGGTATCGGCATTGTTAAAACTGGAATTTATTTCTCATTTACATTCAAAAAGGTTTCCCCTTGACAGACAATACATTCTCCAGTGCTGCACTTTCTCTCCGCTCGCCCATCATTCATTCCCGCTCATTCCAGCCGCTGATAACAAGCATTGCGTCCGACGATAACGGAGACAAACAACCGTTCCCTCGGTCGAACCATAACAAAACGGAGCAGGACTATACACCCACCCACACACACACACACCACCCCGCCTTCTCCTGTGTATTTGTGGCAAGTAGGGCAGAGCAGATTGCGGAGCAAAGTGCTGAGTTTTCCACAGCAGTCGTTCCCTGCAGGACTTGGCAAAGTCCTTTTTTTTCACAGCATGACAGTGCAGTGCAAAATGGAGCTGCTCTAGAGACGGGTCCGTCGGAGGAGTGGAACATAAATGCTTCACATCACAAAAGAAAAGTAGAAAGAAACTCGCCTCCCTAACCATCAATGTTGACGTGAAGGAGAACAGAAATGAGTCCAGGCAAAACGAATGTCATGTAGAGATACATAACAAAATGTACGTTATGGAGATGTTTATTTTTTATTTATTTATTTATTTATTTATTTTAATCTCTGTAGCAAAACCCACTCTTGACGCGTGTTAGCATTATAATATCTTGTTAGAAAAACTGAAAACAAGTGGAGAGTCACCCATGTCTGCGTCCAAGTGTCTTTGTTCCAGACGAAGGCTTAGTTGGCCAGCACCACAGGCTGGAAAGACTGGCTTGGATATTGCAGGCTGTAGCTTCCCAAACCATCAAACGATGGTTTCTCCACATAAGGGATTCCTCCGCTGCTGCTGAGGATGCCCACGCTTTGAGGAGAAGGGCTGGCAAACGGGTCAAAGGTCGGATTGGAGCCGAGGTTGTGCGAGGGTTGGAAAGGGCTGGCTTGTGGCTGCATTGGTTGGGTGTCTGCGTCGAAGAAAAAGGGGCCCGGGGATCCTGGGTAGACGAACTCTTTGGCGCTGGGGGAGAGCTGGCTGGGGATCGGACCTCCAAGGGAGTGCAAAGAGAGCGATAGGGGCTTGTGCTTTAGCAGCTCTGGTGCTGAGATGGTGGTGGGAGAGCGAGAGAGCATCCTCTGCGAAGGCGGGACAATGACACCGGAGTTGGCCGGCGACCCGGCTCCAGTGCACTTCTTCATTTTGGTGGAACCGAATTTGGTGGCGGCGAAGCTCGCGGTGGTGAAGGTGATGGGCTGTGGACGGGCAGGAGGAAGGGCTTGAGGCGGCTGCTGAGTGGGGAGGTATGGCAACCCGCCACTGGAAGGAGAAGGGGAGGAGGTGTCGGATGAATGGACACCTGGGTCAGTAGGTGTGCTGGAGCTAGGGTAGCTAAAGAGCCCAGGCTGAGCTGTCAAAGGTGTGGGAGAGCTTGACAGGGATGGCAAGAGTGCTGGAGATGCTTGACTTCCAATTGGCACAAACACCTGAGCATCTGGATTAAATCCCAAGCTCTTGGCCTCCTCAGCCTCTGACTCACCTTTGCCTTCTCCGTTAACCGCCTCAGCCCTCTCGCTGTCACAACCCAGGCCTGGAGGGTCCTCCAGGTAAAGCACCTTCACTGCCCCCTTCTCTCCAATCTGGTAGGAGACCTCATAAGGGTCGATCCACACGCTGAGCTCTGCGGGGACATTGGCGCGGACCTCCTCTGTGTCCAGTCCACTTCTTTTGGCAGCTAGCTCCACCACAGGGTCCCTCGGCGCCCCCAAGTGGATGCAGCGGAAAGCGGATCCCCTAAGAGGGGCCTCAGGATACCAGTGTCCCTCGAAGCGGGAGACCAGTATCCTCTCCAGCTCCTCGCCAAAAAGGTCAGCCCGCCGACGAGGCAGCTTGTTGTACAGGTAGGACACAATAAAGTTGAGGGCCACCTTGACCTCTAGATGCATAGTTGCATCCGGTTAGTGCCGTCGTGTGAGCAAAGTGTTAGAGGATGCTGTTGAAAGGGAGGCAGCACAGACGTACCTCCAGCTTACTGAAAAGTCGTTGAATCTTTTAGCGTCATATCGGCAAGGGCATCTCAGAAGCGGGGACCGAGGGTTGCAGGCTGTTTTTAAGTTCTCTAGACGTTCCAGCTGTGGAGACACAAGAAAACTGTGACTCTGATGTTCGGTTGAAGAACAAAAGCAATCACATCTTGAGGTGCTAGACTTGTTAAGTCTGATATACTTAAAGTTCATTTTGAAGTTGGACAGAAGCTACACGATGTTGTCACCATAACAAGGTCCTGACATAATTCTAGTAGTAATCAGGGTTTCCCCCAGCGTATTATAAGCTTGGCAGGACACCAGGCTTCACTTGTCCCCTCACCAGGCTAAGCTTTGTCCATTTTAAGTAGGGTTTTATATACACCAGTAAAAGTGGCAGTGAAGGCCAATTAAGTTAGGTTTGTAGGTGATTCATGAACTAACGCAAACCAGTTTCTGCACCTGCCCATTGGTCTCTCAAGCTTTTACAAAGCCTGCTTGTGAACCTCTGAATTTTTGTAATTTTACATTTTAACACAAAAACCCAGCGGCTCACTGGTGGACTACAGTAGAGCCTCTACCACTGGGCGCAGCAGGTTTTCGGGGGGAGACCCTGGTAATGATAATAATAATAATAATGATAATAATAATAAACTTCTCTTCCTGAAAAGGTAGACTAGGTAGGTTTGGCTGCCACAGAGCTTGACTTTTTTTTTTTTTAGAGGAGTTTTCACTTATTAATCAAGTTAGTCAAGGCTGGAACATTTCAGAAGCTTAATATGAAAATTAATGACTCTCCTGGATTGGCTGCTTTGGAGATGGCAGCCATTAGCCTGTCAAGTAACAGCGACACAATATCCAAGCTGCATTTTCTTTAAAATATTTTAGATATGCTTCATGAAAAAAAAAAAAAAAAAATACACACACAAATAGGCGAATTTTCTGTGAATAATTTGAGTTGCATTCTAAAGAAATATCTACAAAAGGCTGGGGTCGACCGTAGCTATAAAATAGAAAAAACAAAACAAAACAGAAGCAAAATTAACTTACAACAAAGCCTGAAACGACAAACTCACACTGTTGAAAGCCACTGAAAATGTGAGTTTTAAAACAGCCTAATCACCACTTGTTCTGCGGTGTTGGAGTCGCGATTGAAAAGGCCTCCGAGCTTCAGCTTAACATTTGGTTCAATCAACAGAAGCTGGAAGCTGACCCTTTTACCACAGCTGGTTTTGTGCCTCGTCGTTGTGGCCAAAAAAAGGTCAGCTCTGGTCCGCTTTGACCAGAACTGACCTTCCAACAGAAAAGGATTTTGGCTTAAACCTGCCAGTCGAGTTTGAGGGTCTTAATTTTGGATCAGAGGCTTAATTTCTTAGTTGGCATCATCAATGTCAAACTTACTTTACTGCCAACAGAGACACTGGTGTTCCAGTCTGAACTAATGTCTTTGTAATTCCTCGATTCTTCCCGACTTTAACTCAGTTTTCTGTCACCCAAAAGGTGACAGTTTGGGTCAGTTGGGTTGTTCCAACAAGTCAATAATCCCAAATGCATGAAAACTGATTTCTGGTGGCTAAAGCAGGCCGACATCAAGATTGTGGAAAGGCTGAAAATTTACAGACTACGCCGAGTCGACAGCAGCAGGACACCAACCAGTTTAGATTAGCTCTACAAAATGTGATTAGAAACGGGTTTAAATATCCAGTCAAAATAATGCAAATCATGTGGTTATCTGCAACTTGCAGACAAACCATGTGCAGACATTCAAACAAATATTATTGGGAGTGTATGTAAATATAGTTTTGACTGTGAGGATTAGATCAAATTTAAAAAGTTTCTCCTTGTGCACTCGATTTTTGTTTTAAAAATCTTTTGATGGAAACAAAAAGTAGCCATTTCAAAGGCACTGAATTACAGATAAGCACGCCCATGTTGCGTGTGATTCTCTCACTAGCACTGTATTTTAAAAATAAAAAAGAAAATGCATCAAAATGCTAAGGTAAGAAGAGCTGCAATACGTGAAAGTTGATACAGATTCCAATAGTGAATGCATATCTATATTTACTTGTGTTAGCAATAAATAATTCAGCCGATGCCTACGTGTTGTGGGACAAACATGACTCTTTCTCCTGAATCAGCAACTATAAATGGACCGTTTCACTTTTCAAGTACATCAAGCGTAAGACACGCTGATGGATAACAGCAGATGCTGCCTTTGTCCAGCTTCATAAATCCTGCATAATCTGAATGTGATCCCATAAAGTGCTTCTGGCTTAATGCTTCACCAGGATCTGTTCACCAGCAGGGGGACGCAAACTGAAATAACGGCACAAGACACGGCAAAAAAACAGGACAAAAATAAAAACAAAGCAAAAACCAGAAAGTGTTTCGTTACAGAAATCAGAAAATGGCAGGACACTTGGTGGATGGAACACAACTTCCCAGCATGCACCTTCGTCCTTCCTCCCGAACCTGGATGAAAACATACACACACACACACACACACACACACACACACACACACACACACACACACACTTACCTCCCTGACAGATGGGGGATTCAGCGGTTAAGATTAGGAAGGCGGCTCAGATTAAAGACAATTCTAATGTTATCAGGGACAAAGCTCGTGCAGGCCGGCTGCCCGGCCACAGGGCTGACGGCCCCTAAAGGCAAAATCCAAACTCTCCTTTCACATGGCTTTGAAGGAGAAAGATGGGGGTAAGGGTTGTCCGAAAGAGCTATAAATAGGGGGCCTCGTCGTTTTTTTTTTTTTGCACCGTCTGTGGAACAAATGCATCTCAACACGCTTCACTTGAAACTAGTGTCATTGAAGAGAAGGATCCAGAAATGTGCCTTTACTACTGCATGTTGCGCCCCATATGGTAGAGATGCAAGTAAATCCAACTCAAAATAACCTACAGCTTCCTGCTTTAGCCATCAGACACAAGCTGGTTTTATTATTGCAGGGTCTGTTGTTGTAAGTCTGAGCGTCAGCAGGATCAGAGGTGTTGTGTTTGTTTACATGGACTCATTATGGAGCAGTGCTTGCTACTATGAGTCAGGTTAAAGCCCACAGTGTTCAGCACTTTAAATTAATACCAAAAAATAACCTTTTACAAGGATTGTGTTGAAAGGAAGCAGTTGCATAATAGAAGCTTCAAACTATTGCGATTTGTCTTATTGTGTCACATTTCTGCACCCTTTTCAAATGATTTACATTTAAAAATGGTAAAGCCAAAGCATAGACAAATATGCAAACAGAAGAATGAACAAGAAGTATATCCTAAAAGGTTTGCATGGACTGAGACAGAGGGAGATTAGTGTCGGTCTGAAGCCACTGGAACAGAGAGTACACTTACTTAGCTGCCAGTGCAAGTGGAGGGTCCCTCCTTTTTGTTTGTTTTTCTTTTTACAGAAATGCCACTGAAAATTAAATCGTAAAGCTAATGACGTGCTGAGCAGCCTATCGAGGATGCAACCGACCAATGAGAGAGCCTGTCTCAGCATAAACATCCTCGAGGAAACATCCGCGGAACACACTGTAATAAGGCTGCGTTTGGACGGTGTGCGGCTGGAAATGTGCATTGAATAAGGAGGAGAGCAAACAGACAAACGCTCAATTCAGTGTCCGAGCCAAGCACAGCCTTTCCTTACAGACAGAGCTGTGGAAAAACACCAGCACATCCCAACAGGATGCTCCATATATCGACATTAAGGAGAAATGTCTCCACTTCAAGCACCGGGTGACGTGTACGTACTCACCTATCAGTGATAACGATGATGTCCGAGCTTGATTTGCGCTCCTGGTTCTCTATATTAATTCCCGTATAATTAATTTGAATTCAAGGCGGAGGTGACAGTCCACGGGTTCGCGAGCTTGATATTTTCTCCACACGTTTCGGTATTTTCCCCCTTTTGCCACCGCAGCTCTAATTATCTGACGTACTTTGCCTCCCGGTGACACTTTGCTATGGAGGTGTCTGCTGAAACTTTACTGTTTGACAACCCGGCGTATTTATACACTGTGAGTCGCCCACACCCCTGTGACGACAGGGACTACTTTTTTGCTCATCATGAATGATGCATACTTCCTTTTTATTATTATTATTTTTGAGGACTTATAGTCATCTACCAGTCATATATGATTACAGTTTCTCTCTAAGGCAATTGCTTTCAATAAATATGCAGCCTCATTAAAATAAAAGAAACACAAATATTATTCTTTTTAGACAAAATCTTTCAAACGAGACGAAAAATAGTGCCCAATTTTGGCATGTAGTATATAGTATTATTTTTGTAGGCACTAGCTTACACGGCGGAGAGACATTTTTCTTCACTGAACAATTTACTAAAAATACTAATAGTGATAGCAACAGAGTTTTTATTGGCTGATATGGAGGAAGACCACCGGTTTATTGGTCAGCAGCAGCTGAAGCGAAGTCAGTTTTGGCAATGGCTTATGGGATATGATGTTCCTAAAGATTCCAGTAAATGTTTATGTTTTTCACTGCGGTGAGCATTTATTTAAATTTGTTATAGGTGTTCAAAAAGACTTTGACTTCACATCAGCTGTTTCTGAAATAACATAGTCTTAGCTTTACAATACAATATTAAAACTTATTTAGAATAACAATGACAATAAACCACAGAAGAAAATAATAAAAGTACAAACATTTAAAACATGTGAAATGCTAATTAATTACCAGTTTGATTATTATTATTTCACAGTGAATGAGGAAAGAAACTGATAATGCCTTTCTGATCATATTTATTTGTTCTAAACGAAACAAGCTGGGAGATTAAACTCAATTTAAGTGTGAGACACCAAAAAAAGAAAGTACAGTAAGACCAACTCAGTCACAATCATGTGAGCAAGGTTGTGTGTATCATCAGAGAGGATTATGAAACACACCCTTGGACAGAGCAATAAAACACCCAGCCTCCCTAAAAAAATAAAAACTGACTGAAGAGCCAAATTTAACAATTGTGTGTAGTGATTTCCCCTAAAATAAATTTCACCTGGTATTTAAGAACTTGTGCAGTAATCTGAGTATTTTTTTAAAAAAATAATCTAATAAGCACAGACGTTTTTAAACAAATCTAAAAGCATAACAAGGGGACTCACAGCTCACCGTTATGGGCAGCTTCACGTTGTACCATGTTTTGTATTTTGGCCACTCTTGAAAGATTGTTAAAGGAACTAATCAACCTGAAGTAAAGATTTTTGTAATTTTTTCCTAAATGTCAGATGAGACAACGGTTGTGCTTTTTGACAACAATAACAGAAAGCAAATTTGGAGGAAAAATATCCAACCAGAAAGATGTCAGAGGTTTTCTGGCTGTGTACAAACAGGATAGGGCTTTAACCAGATTTGGTACATTCAATATAATATGGGGATATCCAACTTGTGCACACAATTCTTGTTATAAAAATATTTGAAGCTTGTTGTTTAATTGTTGCACTCTAAAAAACCCGAACTATTCAAACGCGTCAATAAAAAAACAAAGAACTAAACATTATTTATTACACAGATTTTTATGGGTGAAACATATTTTATATTAAGTATGAAACACATGAACAAATAAATCAAGGTCACGAAGAAATTAAAAATCACAATTTTGTCTAAAATTAGATGTGAAATTGAATCTTAACTCCTCTTTCTTGAAATCAGTTGCTGACGTGATGAAAGTGCGACACGCCGCGGAGAAGAAACTACAAAATGGCGTCTTACTGCACGACTGTAACCAGACTCCGGGTGAGAAGATGTGTTTATACTTTTACAGGGCTGCTTTTAAACATGTAGTTAATTAACATGATCGACTACAGTCAGCAGAAGTCAGGCGGTGTCTGATAACGAGTCTTCGGCCGCTGCTATTCGCAAGGTGAACGCAAGGTTACGTGTTTTACGACGTGATTTAACTCCTGGCGGCTCAGCGAGTCACATAAGTTCACAGAGACTGATGAACTGCTCTCACGCGCGCATGAATGAGATTTAATAACGGTCTGACGAGCACGACGAAATTAAAATCCTTTGACAATGCGTGTTGTAATATTTCCAGATTCAGGTCTTGTTTACGTTTGTCCTGCGTCAATAATTTGCATATGTAAACCTCAAAGATGGGTGCTAAATTATAGGAGGCAAGTTTTTTTTCTTGGGTTGAACAAGTTAAAGTTAGTAAGAATTATTCAAACTTTAATGAAGCGCTTTTTTTTTTTTTTTTACTGGCAAACAAGTTTTGTTTGGTAGGAGTTTAATCATCATTTAATTTCCAGAATCCTTATTTGACATGACATCTTTTAAAATTAAAATGTAAGCAAAACGTTTTTTTTTTTTTTTTTTTCAATTGATCCTTTTTTTACACTGTAGTTTGAGTGATAGGAAATGAGATGGGCCTCATTTCCTATCAGAAAAAAAGCTTCTTGGTTGAATAACAATAATTTATCTAGCAATTTTCATAGATAAAATCCAAAGCTTCATGATAAAATATTAATCACAATAGTTTTATTGCCGTTTTTAGTGTTTTGTGTCATTTCATCCCTTTTATTTTCACTTTAATTGTACCGGAAACAAGTCTCATGCTTTACAAGTTTGAAAAGATTTACAGAAGAAGTCTTTCTTTTAACATCTCAGAGAAAACACAGCATGTTAACAGGAGTCCATATACTTTTTTAATGGCTTTATTATAAAATGCTAAAGTAAAAACTTGAAATACAGATCATAATAGAAAAACTGTGTTAAAAACCCTTTTCTTTCTTACCGTTTTCCTGGAGAGAGAATGTGTGTAGATCAGAGACTGACAGTATTTCAGATGTCTTGGTAACCTTGGTTACCAGGTTGTGAAAATGTTTAATCCGGTCAGAGTTATCAAATTACCCAGAGTTCAGTGGGTGGGTGAGGCCGGTCTGCTGCAATATGAGCTGCAGGAACCTTCACCCAGTTTTCTCAGAGAGCAGCGATGGTAAAAATGCAGCACAAACAAATAACCTTAAAGCGCCTCTGATCATCCGTCGCAGTGCCGCACTTCTGTTTAGCTCTGAAGTGTAATTGCTGTGACAAAACACTTTTACTTATTATATACGTGAATAAATGTTTTGCTCTCATTGTGAAAATCTGACTGAGCTGTTTACGGATAAGAAGGAGCATTTTTATTTGTGCAGCCAACTGCACTTTAACCAGCGTTAGTGTTTTTATTCCTTGTCTTGTGTAATAAAAATTCCTCTCTTACCAACACTTTGCTTTACAACAAATTTACAACAAATGCTTTGATGAAGTTCTGCTTTTATTGTCCTGTGTGACTTGCTGCCTCTCCTGGTCCAGCTGGCTCTCGGAACCGGGGCGAGGCGGTTTCATGTCGCCGCCGTTTTGAGCGCCAGGGCCGGGGCGGCCATGAGCCGCTTTGAGCCCGGCTCCAGCATCGGCTACGGGAAGATGCACGAGAACATCGGCATCGTACGCAGGAGGTCAGCGGTTCCACAAACTGTGACGTTGCTCTACAAACTCCTCTGTATTTTAAATGGGACTTTATGACGTAGCTGAACACACGAGTGACATTTTTGATGACATTACTTAAAATCTACCACAACCAACTTCTTCAGAAGTCAGCGATAGTAAAAATGTTTGGTTATTATTAAGCGGTTTGTCCAAACTGCCACATTAGACTCCAAATTAGAAGTTACCGCTAGTCATATATTGATGTTCAAATTCTTTAAAATATTTAAATATGATAAATATATCAGCTTCACACCACTGTTTCTCTCTGTAGTTTGCAGAAATGCTTAAATAACGGTGGCATCACGTCCTGCATGTGAACCCACACGTATCATCTGTCTTATTGAATTTTAAAGCCTGTTTGTAATTGTCATCTTCTCTTTCTTGATAAATTATTCAAATAGTTTTATTGCCGACTGCTTCTGCTTTATTTACAAAGTACATCAAAGCAACTGCGATAAAATGCTTCACAGATAAAAAATCAATAAACATTTAAAGTATGGAAAGGAGAAAAGACATCAATACTCTCTACTTAAAAACTTACAAAGATATGGACATAAACTAAACCGACAGGCTAAACACTGGGTAATCAGAGATGTAGCTAGGGCGGGGCATTTATCGTATCGTTTATCGCAATATATTACCATTTTCATGATAAATTCCAATGAATGAGGTGTAAAACCCCAAAAAACGTCCATATTGTTGGGATTGTTTATTTTATTATTTATTTCCACAGTTTTTTTGAAAGTACCAATAAATGTCAATAAGCTTAAAAATGTTATTAAATGCAGTTACTGTGCATTTAGTGGTACAAATCCCACTTCTTTATGATACTGTTGTCCAAAAGAATCATATTACAAGTTTATCCAGAGCTGTATTTGAGTTTGTGGAGCCATTCAGTCAAAGTTATGTAAAAAAAGAAGTAATAAAAATTCTTACTGTCACTTTTACCATCATTACAATAGTACCACAAAATATCATGATGGTCAAATCCCATATTTAGATGTTGACGTTGTCCCATCCAATCCCTGAGATAAAACGTCAGGGTGAGAATTTAATTCCTTAGACGTTGAAAATCTGGTGAAGACAAAAACCAAGAAACTTGCAGCTGAAATGCAGATGAGTTGAACAAAATCCTGTTAAAATTCAGTAAAGTTTAAAAAAAAAAAAAATTGAAATCCTTCCTAAACGCTCTCCCACGATCCTCCACGGCAGGCTCGGCAGGCCCCTGACTCTGTCCGAGAAGATCGTCTACGGCCACCTGGACAATCCGGCGGGGCAGGAGATCGACCGCGGCCGCACCTACCTGCGCCTGCGTCCAGACCGCGTGGCCATGCAGGACGCCACGGCCCAGATGGCCATGCTGCAGTTCATCAGCAGCGGCCTGCCCAAGGTGGCCGTCCCCTCCACCATCCACTGCGACCACCTGATCGAAGCTCAGATTGGAGGAGCTCAGGACCTGCAGAGGGCAAAGGTGAGCCGAGGCCAGAGGAGGATTGGCTTCCTGAACCGCAGCGACACGTTTTAGCTTCACCAGCTTCTCTGTCGTGCTTTGCAAATTCACAGCGAACATCAGAACAAAGTGTGCACCACTAACTCTAAGAAAATGTTCATGAAAACTCATAATCTAGTTGCTTCCTTCTGTTCCCTGAAAACAGGAAGTGAACCAGGAAGTGTACAACTTCCTCGCGACTTCCGCTGCTAAATATGGAGTCGGCTTCTGGAAACCAGGCTCAGGGATCATCCACCAGGTACGGCGTTTACACTAATGTACGATAAATCTGTTCTTGTTTGATGCTTTGCTTATTTCCCTTGAAAATTGTAAAATGCTTGAATTTCAATGAGGTGGTTTCAAGGTTTGGAAAATGCTGGATTTCCATACAACGTCCTTGAAAGTGCTTGAAACTGCACAGTTTTGTAATGAAGTGCAAATATAACATTTGATAAATTTAGGAAACATTTTCTTGTAGTTAAACCAAGATATAAAAAAAAAAATTAAAAGAGACGTACACATTTTTCCCCAAACGTCTGATTTGTCTGATTTTCCTAAAGTTAAATCAGAAAGTTAAATTTCTCTCGTTTTTTTTTAGGTCGGTTAGAATTACCAAAATTATTCCTGTTTACTAAATACCAGAAAACTTAGGGAGAACTTTTTTTTTCTTCTAGATTTTTATGTAACTTTCTCAGACCAGACGGGTCTGCAGGGTGAGAGGCGATTCAAAACTTAAAATTAGTTGTATTTTAGTTTATCTTGTCCCTGGTGTTTAATGTGGAATACTAATGCAAGGCATTATTAACATTAATAAATTATATGATATACAATAGTGAATTGAAAAAGTCTTCTTTAGTTCATTTGTATTGTTTTTATCTCAAAAGTGTGATGCTGGAAAAAGTGCACAAAACATGAAATTTGATCGTTCTGGGTTTTTTATTATTATTAAAAAAATAACTCATCCACTCTTGAATTTTGTTTTTAAGGACAAAAGAGGGAGAATAAACAACCTAATTACATTTTTGTGTTGAGAAAATATGTCCTCATTTTCCGCTGCCTAAACAGATCATCCTGGAGAATTACGCCTATCCGGGGGTGATGCTCATCGGGACCGACTCCCACACGCCCAACGGCGGCGGCCTCGGCGGCATCTGCATCGGAGTGGGCGGAGCCGACGCCGTCGACGTCATGGCTGGAATCCCGTGGGAGCTCAAGTGTCCCAAGGTGTGTTTTAATTTCAGCTCGCATTTCAAGAACTTTTATTTTTGTCTTTGCCCATGTTTCTCCTCAAAGTTTTCCAAGCGTTTTCCTGCCTGTGTGGTTTTTCTCCGTAGGTGATCGGAGTGAGACTGACCGGGACGCTGTCCGGTTGGACGTCCCCGAAGGACGTCATCCTGAAGGTCGCCGGCATCCTGACCGTGAAAGGCGGCACGGGGGCCATTGTGGAGTATCACGGACCTGGAGTTGACTCCATTTCCTGCACTGGTGAGATTGAGGCAAAGGGAAAATCCTAATGTGTTATAAATTAAACGCAGCGATCAAAGACAAAACGTTGTGGTTCTGATTTTGATGCAAGAAGCAATTTGGATCCGTACCTTCACTCTGAAATTCGTCAAATGTTGCCAACAAATCTGTCATAGGTGGAGGTGGAAAACTCAAAATGATTTTTTTGTTCTACGTTTAGCCTTCCTGTTATCTCCCGAAAGTCTCGCTCTCTTTTTCTTGCTTTCTCTTGTAAAAACACAAATGACAGAAAATAGTTTAAAAAAAATTCTGTCATTCCTTCTGTAAGTTGTACGATGAATTGTTAGAATCAAATTATGAGAATATTTCTTTCTAATTATGGGAAAATATGCAGAATATTAGCAGAATAAAGGCACAGTTATAACAGAAGAACATCCTAAAAGTACAAAAAAGTCATTTTAATAGAAAAATTTGACAATTTGTGATTGGTCTTTTTCTTATTTTTTATAGCGTTACATCTGTAGCGATTAAAAACTATACATTGACACGTTGCAGGAATGGCCACTATCTGCAACATGGGCGCTGAGATCGGAGCCACCACCTCGGTTTTCCCCTACAACCACCGCATGAAGACCTACCTGCAGAAAACCGGACGCCAAGGTCCGCGACTCGCCGTCCGCCTCCGATTCTTCGGTCTCCGTCGGCCTCACCTCCGTTTCCTTCTGTCCTCCAGAAATCGCCTCGGCTGCCGATGAGTTCAGAGACGACCTCGTTTCTGATGAGGGCTGTGAATACGACCAAGTCGTCGAGATCAACCTCAGTGAGGTGACTTACAGGGATTTAGTGGACAAACGACTCTCACTGCAAAAAAAAAACAAAAAACGCTTTCTGGTCTAGTTTCTATTGAAAATATCTTAGTACACTTTGAATAAGACAAACTAGCTTACAAGCATGAAATAGGAGCTGGTTTTGAGTCAATAATTCCTTAATATTGATGAGAAAGTGGAAATAATCTGCCAGTGGAACAAGACATTTTAACTTACATGAGAACAATGTCTTGTTCCACTGGCAGGTTATTTCACTTATTACTTCATTTTTCTTTTTAAAAGCAATATTAAGGAATTATTACCTTGAAACAAGATCCTATATCTTGCTGAAAAGTTACTTGTAATCTGGTTTTTTTTATCTTAAGTGTGCTAAGATATTTGTAGGCCTGTCACAATAAACAATCGATTGATTAATTTCCTGATAAATTAAAAGAAACTCAATAACTTTCATTTGCTTGATTCATCATCCTCCTGTTTTCTTTCTCTTTTTACCAAAAACTGAATGATAAACTTCTTCCGTCTGGTGTTTTAGTCTCAACTAGCCCTCTTTTGAATGATAATTTTATTAACAGAGACTTTATAATTCATTTTATTTGTAGTTTCTGTTGTTTTCTTTGTTTATCTTGGATATTTAAAATGTTTTCCAGTTCCAGTCTTTAAATCCTCATTAGAGTTTAAAGGTTATTGATCCTTGAGAATTTGTTCTTGCATTATTGTGCCACTATCACTATTATATATTATATTATGTTACTATTATATAATTGAAAATGGTCTCAAAACAACAAAATCATTGTTTATCGCTATAAGTTTTGGGTCAGTTAATCATGACAGGCCTGGATATTTACACTAGAAACGAGGTCAGAAATGCTTGCTAAGACTTTGAGGTTTTTTTTTGCAGTGCAGTTCAAGGGTCTCATTACTTTTCTTCTTCGTTGCTTTTCCAGCTGAAGCCTCACATCAACGGGCCGTTCACCCCCGACTTGGCCCATCCCGTGTCTGAGATCGGAGCCGTTGCTAAGAAAAGCGGCTGGCCCCTGGAGGTTAAAGTCGGTGGGTATTTGTGGCGCGGCCGTATCGCCTTACGCTCTCCCTTAATGCTTCGTTCAGTGAAATCAGACACTCGGGTCTTTGTTCCTCCTCGCCGCGGTATTGACCAGATCCCGTTTCGGCTCGGGTGTGACTCCGGTCCTCTAAAGTCACCTTGAGCGCTGCGTGTCAGACGAACAAGCATCTGCTTCTCGTCCGTTGTTGATTTGACGTTTCCAAATTTTCGAACCCAAACAGGTCTGATCGGCAGCTGCACCAACTCCAGCTATGAGGACATGGGCAGAGCCGCCTCTCTGGCCAAGCAGGCCCTGGACAAAGGCCTGAAGTGTAAGGCCCAGTTCACTGTCACGCCGGGCTCGGAGCAGATCCGCGCCACCATCGAGAGAGACGGATATGTGAGTCAGAAATACACAGGAAGAGAAAGAAAGTTCAACTTTTTATGAGACATCAAACATTTTAAAGAGGTATTTTTACTCTCAGACCACCGAAATAAAACTCTCTTAGAGCTGCAAATGTGACATGACTTAAAAAATATTAAAAAATTATAATTTCAGATGAATTTCTACTATAGTTTATTGTAATTTTTCAAGAATCATTTTATTTCTATTTTTAGGATTTAAGATACAGATAGATATAAAATTTTGTAAAACAAAGATGGATCTTTTTTTTTCCTGTGGAAAATGATGTAAAAACGTTAAAAGCACATGTATTCCAACCTACTGACAAAACAGAACAGATTTAAAAGCATACTAATGTTACTTTAGTGTCATTTTCTGTGGAAATTTAATGCAAATATTGTAGGAATGAACTGAAACCTGAGATTGTTTTCATAATTTCTAGCCAAAGTGATTAAGAGCCATTGTGAAAGGTGTGAAAAGCCACTGGTTCAGGTTGCAGACCCCTGATCTGATGTTTTTTTTGTTTTGTTTTTGTTTTACCTTCTGAAATAAATGTCATTTATGTCTCAGGCCAAGATTTTGAGCGATGTTGGAGGAGTCGTTCTGGCGAACGCTTGCGGTCCGTGCATCGGCCAGTGGGACAGGTACGCGCCTCGTTTATAAGACCTGATTCAGACTCGGAGCAGAAAAGCTGGTCTGATGGCTCCTGGCTTCGATGTTGTGGTTTTAACAGAAACCGTTTCAAAGTTTATGCAACGATTTAAAGACTAAAGAGCCTTCCACACAAAGCGGGATTCATTTCCTCTTCTGAAGGCAGCGAGTGCATTTGGATTCAGTCCAGTGCAACTCTTTGACTTCAGACGTCACTTGATTAGAAAATGTGGTCCATTTCTTTGAAAAGTTCACTTTGGTATAATTACAAATGTCCTGTAAAGGCATCAGCTTTACTGTGATACCCCTAAATAAAATCCAGTTGCTTCCCACACTCTGATCTCTTCCTTCCAGGTCACCATGTGCTGCTTTTTGTTGCTCCAGCATGTAAAATCTCAATAAAATACAGTTTGTTTGTTTGTTATGTGACAAATTGTGGAACAGTTAAAGGATCGTGAATTTGGTCGGAGTGTTGTGTAACTCAAAAGAAAAATATATCTAAACTAGTTCTAGATGTAAAGTTATGAGTATGTTTTGTCGTTCTTGTGAAAATCTGGACAAATTATTACAATCTTGTTTTTATTTTTAATCTCGTTTTCAATCTCAAATGATGATCATAAGCCAAAGCGACAGACCTCAATAGCTTCAGCTAAGCAAGTCGTGTTACTTTGAAACAAGATAAGTGTTTTTTTTTTAATCTCTTATGGAAAAGTCAGTGGGTTGTTTTATTGTATTTATCGGTTAAGTTATGTTTTGAGTTTTATTTGCTCCCTTTTTGTTGTTTTTTTGCAGGAGAGACGTTAAGAAAGGAGAGAAGAACACCATAGTGACGTCCTTCAACAGGAACTTCACTGCCAGGAATGATGCCAACCCGGCGACTCACGCTTTTGTAACTTCTCCTGAAGTAAGAGCTCAACACAAAGGAGGAAGTTAAAAAGTTTAAAATCATAAAGTTCTTATTTTTTTAATGCACATCAGGGAGGATTGACACTTTCTCTCTAAGTTTTGCTGCGTTTTGCTGTAATCTCTCGCAGATCGTCACAGCTCTGGCTCTGGCCGGGACCCTCAGCTTCAACCCGGAGACCGACTACCTGACGGCCCCCAGTGGGGAGAAATTCAAGCTGCAGCCTCCCACAGGCGACGAGCTCCCGTCCAGAGACTTCGACCCGGGCCAGGACACGTACCAGCACCCCCCTGCTGAGAGCGCCTCGGTCCAGGTGAGGCACGAAGGCTTAACGATCAACATCAGGACTCTCCAGAAGTCGTGACGTTTTTGACGTACAGACGGAAGAGCTCTCGTTTTGACCCTGTTTTGTTGCCGTACAGGTAGACGTGAGCCCCTCCAGCACGCGTCTGCAGCTGTTGGAGCCTTTCGACAAGTGGAATGGGAGAGATCTGGAGGACATGAGGGTCCTCATCAAGGTGAGGGAGACGTATTTAGCTCACAGGATTATCGCAGCAAAGCTGTAAAGTGTGTCTTGTTAGAGGAATTGTTCTGGGAACAGAGAAAAGTATTTTTATTCTGAGCCAGATTAACGGATCTGCCTCTGTTTCCGTTAGTCTGCCTCAGAAAAAAATGCATTTTAAAAAGAGTTAAATAAATAAGCAAAGCTTAGCCTGGTGGGGTCACAAGTAAAGCCTGGTGACCCGCCAGGCTTATAATACACTGGAGGAAACTCTGGTCGTCGTTTTATCGCAATACTTTCTGGGAGAACTTATCGTCCAGCGAGCTGCGTTACCGTGACGAGCCTCGCTCCTCGTGTTTCCCACCAACAGGTTAAGGGAAAATGCACCACCGACCACATCAGCGCCGCCGGGCCCTGGCTGAAGTTCCGCGGCCACCTGGACAACATCTCCAACAACCTGCTGATCGGCGCCGTCAACATGGAGAACGACGCCGTCAACAAGGTGAAGAACCAGCTGACCGGGGAGTACGGCGGCGTCCCCGACGTGGCTCGCTTCTACAAGGTGGGACTCCTTTCATTTCATTTCATTTTATTCACCGTCTCCTTTGTTTTTGCTTGTTACTGCCTGGTTGAAATCTGTTTATGGTTTTGAAATCATTTCCCTTTGAGTGGATCGTAAATCTTTGCTGATCTCTTGTAAATTGCAGGCCAACGGCGTGAACTGGGTGGTGGTGGGAGATGAGAACTACGGGGAGGGATCCAGTCGGGAGCACGCCGCCCTGGAGCCGCGGCACCTGGGGGGACGCGCCATCATCGTCAAGAGCTTTGCCAGAATCCACGGTTAGTTTCTCAGCAGAGGAATCAAACATTTTTAATTCCTCTTGATGGAACTGATTAAACAGGATAATGTATTCCTAAATTAGAAAATATTACAATTTAATGCAGCCAGTTTTGTTTTATTCCTGAACACAAAGTCTTGGGGTAAAAATATACTTCCTATTTATTATTATTAAGTATTTATTCCCTAAACCTTTTCTCATTTTAAAGTTTCTCAAACTTTATTATTATTATTTATTCTAGCTACTTTACTGAGATGTGTGATGGACCAGACACAGCAACATACTTGTAACATAATCTAACTTAGATTTAGTTTGGACTTTGACTAGGCCCTTCCAACACATCAATATGCTCTTATCATTTCTTCTCAACTCAATCAACGCTGTGTTTTCAAACCAGCCAGACATTTTAAAACAGTATTGCAGCTGGAATCTTAAAATTTATCTCCACAACAAAAAAACAAAAACATTTTATCGCTACAAATTGCCTGATTGAGTGAGTGATGCATTTTTATTACAACTTTTTTATTTTTACCCAGAAAACATCATCTCCTGCTGCCACCATCATGCTAGCTCTGTCATGCTACAAATATTACTGGACGATAAATTGTCATAGTAATTACTGCGATAAACCACAATGTTACTGTTTTGAGACCATTTTCCAGCAATATTATGATGATAGTGGCATAATAATGCAGCTTCGCCCTCTCACAAACTAATAGACTTTCATTTTTATACAGAATACACTGGAACATGATTTAGATATACAAAATAAAACACAACGACCAAAAACAATGAATGAAACGGAAGTAAAAACCACACACAACCAAAACCTAAAATAAAATAGATTATAACGTCTCATAAAAAATATTCGTGACCAAAATGGAAATTATGGATGTCATTTTAATTCCTCATGTAATTGATTGATCACACCAGGTTTCGTGATGGTGCGTTCAGGATGACGAGCAGTGTTGGTTTTCTCACTGGTTTTTTGCAGACAAGCTGAAATGTTTAGTTTTGGTTTCATTTGACCTCCTTCCTCAGTTAATTATCAAGTTTACACGACGTTCACAAGTCCAAATGTAAACCATTTTTAAAAAAATTGTTCTACTTAGAATAACATAATTTTCTCACCTTTTGTTTCTCCACAGAGCAAACTTTAAGTTACCTGTCCTGCTAGATGCGTCAGTTTTTTCTTTCACCGTTCTCTTTCTTTTCTTTCCACAGAGACCAATCTGAAGAAGCAAGGCCTGCTGCCTCTGACTTTCTCCAACCCCGACGACTACGACAGAATCCGCCCGGACGACACGATTTCAATCACCGGCCTCAAGTCCTTCGCTCCCGGGAAGGTGAGCGGCGTCCTGCGCCGGTGACATCATCCGTCTTCTAACGCTTCCCGCTGACGCATGTCTCCCGTCTCCAGCCGCTGACGGCCGTGATCAAGCACTGCGACGGGAGCCAGGAGTCCATCTCCCTGAGCCACACCTTCAACGAGACGCAGATCGAGTGGTTCAAGGCCGGCTCGGCTCTCAACAGGATGAAGGAGCTGCAGTAGCTGCCGAGAGGAGAGAGACGGCGGAGCGGTGACCGGAAGGGAAACCGACTCGTGTTTGGTCGTTTTCGCTCCCAGGATGCAACACACATGCATTAAAAAGGTCGCTGTACCGATAGAAAGCGCACACCGATGAGTCAGCACTTAAAGGTTCTTGAGGCCCTCTCAGTTCACAAGTTGAGTTGCACAAGTTTAGTCAAAAATATTTGAAGAAAAATTTATATATATATTTAACTTTTGTTGCACTAGAATCACTTCAATACTTGAAACTTTCCAATTACAATTAATCATGTGAGCATTTAATGCTTCTTATTAGTGTTTCTAGGCTTGATTTAAACTCTGATGTAATCAAATAGGAACTTGAATTTTAATTTAAAAACTTAAAACTCAATACATTCCAAGATTATTCTTGCTTTTTCCGACGTACCTCGTTTTAAATGTTTATCCGTAGAAACCAACCGATAAGCTGATCATCATTTTTGTTCTGATTTTATCGTTTTTGTCGACCCTTTACTGTGAAGGTTGAAGGCGATCCCAGGTCGGTCGTCCTTTCCTGCTTTCTGACGCCGTTACTGACTTGAACAAATGAACAAAATTTACTTTGCTAACTACTAGTTACGTTGTTGCATCTTTGCTAAAAATGAACTTATAATCCAATCATTCGTCTGTGCTGTCAGCCACAGCTCACTCTTTTCTCAATTTATTTTTCTTTGACATAAAAAAAAACAATATTCATCTGCACTAGTCTCGTCAGTGTCTACACACTCCCTGCAGCCGTTGCCATGACGCCTTGCAAAAGTATTAATAATACCTCGACGTTTTAACTTTTTGTAACGTCACAGCCACAAAATTCTGTGTATTTAAGTTTTTTTGTTTTATTTCTTTTTCAGATAAAAATCTGGTGTGCAATTGAGTTTTATTTAAGGGTATCAGAAGAAAAGGGGGATGATTAAAAGGCAATTTGCTGCGCCCTTTTAATTACCTTGTGGGCTGAAAACAGTTACATGCCACACTTTTCAGATATTTGTAAAAAAAATAAATAAATAAAAAAATCTTCAACTTTACAACTAAGCCCTGCTTTGTGTTGGTCTTCCATAAAATCATAAAAAACAAAAACAAAAATGTTGAAAATTTCAAAGAGGTTAAATTAAACTTGCAAGGCGTTTTGAATCAGTGCGATTCTTCACAAACCAGAATAAATGACCCATTCCACTGCAATGAATAGACACATTTTCATTTTTTTTGTTAAATGAATGTTTCCTGTCGATGTTTGTTTCAGTTTTTAAAAAATGTCCGTCGTCTTCAGACTCTCCTGAATAAACCGTCACCACAGTGCGTCTGTGGAGGAAAACTCCACCCGTTGCATCATGTTGTGAAATCCTGTGGAGCTTCGCTAACCTGTCCAGTTTCTCTGCGTTTTGTTGAAACGTCTGCTTGCTGCTGTACCGGCTGTTTCCCCTCAACGTGGCTGTGATGAGATTATGTTCACTGTGTTGATCTTTAAAATGAATGTTGTTCCACTTTTAAGGTTCTCCATGATGGGAACGTCGTTCTCTCTAACGCACAATCTAGTAATCAGGTGCCTGTTCTCTCGTGAATTTCATTCACTGCCAGTAGAAAGTTAGAAAAAAATAAGTGTGGTGAAGGAGGAGGCAAGATGTGACCTCAATGTTTAACCAAGTATCTTTTTTTTTGTGACATAACTGATGATGAAGAAATATTTAAAATATAATCCCTGCTTTTCTGAAGATTTTCAAATATTATGATTTATTTCCTTTTTTTTTCTTGGAGCTTCTTCCTGCAGTTTGATGTATGGACATCAGGATGATCCTCTCAATTTTCATAGGAACTCTGTAAATTCACAACAGAACTGATTTTAGTTGATTTAATTTGTGTTTCAACCCAAGTTTGGTGGAGGTGAGTATTGATATTCTGACTAAATAACTCCTGAAAGTTATTTAGTTGAATAACTAAATAATGACTGTAATGTGTCATCATATATTTTCCTATAAAATTTTAAAGCTTACTGGTTGTTATGATTTACCAGGTTTAATTTTCCAGTGTGTTTCATAGAAAAGTTGCTCTTTTTAAATGCATATGACTCTGATCACCCGGCTTTATTTACCCTCTGTGAAAAACACCCTCACAGTGAAAAAAGACGAGACTTCGCTGTTGTTTGGTTACGCCGATTAATCAAAATGGCGGGCGGCCCACACAATGGCATTATCTCCTGGTTGAACTCTGTGTGACCAGGCTCCTACTGTTTGAATGTCTTCTAAACATGTCTTTTAATATGGAAGGATGCGCTTTCGTAGTCATGATTGTCATCAGTTGATTATTTTGTAAAGTTAATCTACTGTTTTGTAGCTTACAGAGTTGAAATACAGTCATATTTACAAATATAAATAATGAAGAAGATGTAGAATTATTGCTTGTCTTTGCAGTTCAATTTATAGTTAATTTTATTTATGCAACACCAATTCACAACGAATGACGTATGAAGGCACTTTACAAAAAATATGATATATTAACCAATTAAGTTCAACAGTACTGATACGACTCAATGTCAATAGCCTAAGTACGTATTAACAGGAAGAGAGCTGCTGGTTTTGATTGTCTTTACGCTGTAGGAGTGATATATCTCCAGGAGGGGGCGATAGTGAGACTTGAAATAAGTCGTTCAAACCAGAAGAAGAAGCTCACGTTGGTTAGGTGTGATACTAGAAAGCAGTTTATAGAGTATATATCTTGGGTTTCTTGCTGAAGTGTGAGCCGCTGAAGCTGTTGGAAGACCAAAAGGAAATTAAGATGTTCGCTTAACCTCAGCGTCCCTCCCTGTCGCCGCTCGGCCGCGTTTGGACCGTGTGAGTGAGGCTGCCCCCGCTCGTGCGTCATGTTCGTGCTGGTGGAGATGGTGGACACGGTGCGGATCCCTCCGTGGGTCTTTGACCGGCGGCTGAACGATGCCATAGCGGAGGAGCTGAACAAGAAGCTGGCCAACAAGGTGAGGGGTCGCCCGCCTCAGAACCGCGGCTGCGCAGACGCGATTTTAGCAGCAAACTTTTGCAGAGCAGAGAGGAACAGGTGACGTGATAAAAACACAAAAATACAAAGTCATAAAAACATCATACAGTGACTAATTTGAGAAACAAGTGATAAACATTACATTTTGTCGAGTGCCATCAGCTTAATCATCAATTCAGATCTTGTATGTTGTTGGTCAATTTTGCTGTAATTATGCAGCCCTAAACAGGTTTGATTTTAGCCTTGATTTAAACTCAGTGTTTCAGCTGTTTTGCAGTTTTCTGGACGTTTGTTCCAGATTTGCATTCAGTCTGCAGTACGTTCATAGCAGACGCTTGAATTTGTACTTAAAAAATTTTATTTAGAAGTTTGGAAATCTGATTCTTGGCTTTCCTTTATACATTGAGTATTTTTAAGAATCCTGGGTCTGTCTTGGGATAAACAGAGCTAATAAGTTAAAGTTTAAGGAGGTTTGATGTCCTCGCGTAACATTTGTAGATCAATAAATAGTTGGATTTTTGAGAATTTTAATACTTTTGAAAGCAAATGTTTTCAATTTACATAAGTAGTTTTAGACATTTTCATTTTGGCTTTGCCTTTAAACAATTTGGGAACTTCTTTAATCTACTGATATGTTCAATTTGCAACAGTTGAATTCAGTGGAGGCCAACTTGCAGGTACCTAGCAACTATAATCACCATGGCAACGTCCAGCCTTAACATCTCTCAGGAAGGAAACGGTTACTTTGTCCCAGAGAAATGAACATGCTGTGGTGGAAAAAAATCTTTATTTATTGAAAGATTGTGGAGGGAAGCCCAAAAGGTTTGAAAGTCGGATAGTTTCCAAGGCGATTGCACCAAATGTTAAGGAAATGGATGTTCACTTAAGAAGGAAAAAGTTCTCTAATTTTATTAGAAGTGAACTGAAACAGAAAAGTCTCCTACAATGTCAAGCTTGGAGAAGAAAGACAAGTCTTTCTACATCTCATTTGATCACTTGGTTATCTGTGCTACGTCAAAACCTCTATTTTTTTTTTTACAGTAAAACTACAACACTTGCTCTCTGACCCCCAGGTGGTTTACAATGTGGGTCTCTGCATCTGCTTGTATGACATCACCAAACTGGAAGACTCCTACATTTTCCCTGGAGACGGCGCCTCGCACACTAAAGGTATGATGAATGATAAAAGTGCTGCGACACTGACTGCTACATCAGTATTACTTATTGAATAAAAGCCTGATCCCATTGTTCCTTTGACTTTTTTTATTTTATTTTTTTTATTTTAGTCCACTTCAGGTTTGTCGTCTTCCACCCGTTCCTTGACGAGATCCTCGTTGGCAAGATCAAGTACTGCAGCCAGGAGGGAGTTCATGGTAACTATTGACCTTCGTCAGCCGTGATTCTGTCGACACAAGCGAGTATTTATTCACGCAGAATGTAGAGTATAAAACTTCAGCCAAACTTCTGTTGTCTGACTTGCATATCAAGGCTGTAGAGCAACACAACGAGCCCAGATCATCACCCCTCCACCTCCGTATGTGACAGTCTATATGTGATGAGAAGCGGTTTGGTGTTGTGCATAAAGGCCGAACATTTATGCTCTGGCTTCATCTGTCTGAAGCTTTTTGCTCCAGAAGTCGTTACGTGACTGAACTAATGTCTGAGTTCAGATTTTGCAACGGTTGCATTAATTCTTTAAGCTGATGTATAAAATTTCATAATAACTGCAACTGATGATTATTTTAGTCGTCTGTTATTCTGCCGATTCATCGATTAATCGGATAAAATAATTTGCCGTATTTTGCAGATTTTTCATCTAACAACTTAAGCCTTATTTTATATTAGAAACACGTCAAAGATGTGAATAAAGAAGTCATAAAGTAAAAATGTTATTGCATAAACTGTGAAATCACAGGATTTATGCTTGTTCATTTGTAGCAAAGGCTTTGCAGCTAAAAACTTGTTTTTAACATCAACATGTTAGAAGCAGGTCAACCGTTTTTCCTAGAGTTAACATGAATACAACATATAAATAATCTCTTGATAATTTTTGGATTAACAGATTAATATTCGAATAGCAAAAGGTCCTTTTTTTATTTTACAGAATTTAAATCAGATGAAGCTAAAACTGAAACTTGAGTTCTGGGTGGAACATTTTTGCAGACAAAGTTTTTGTTATATTCATCTTGGATATAAAATGTATCTTTTTTTTTTTTTTTTGCTTAATTACTGCTCTGATTGTGTCTTTTTTTTGAGTCTGTATACTCCAGTTAACAATTAATCGAATACTAAATTGGTTGACAGTTATTTGTATCATTACGATTAATCCTGTTAATCGTTTCAAGCCTACATATAAAGTTAGCGCATGTTAAGTATTTATTTTACAGTATTTCCAGTGGATATTTGACCTCTCTGGTTCACAGTGACGATGGGTTTCTTCGATGACATTCTCATTCCACCCGAGTCTCTCCAGCAGCCGGCTAAATTGTATCCTGACCGTTGAAACAAACATCTGGTGGTTTATTGCTGTTTGCCGCGTTGATCGTTCGGGTCGAGCCGTTCCTTAGCTTTCACCCCCCAAAGCGACGAAGCCGAGCAGGTTTGGGTCTGGGAGTACGAGACGGACGAGGGAGCGCACGACCTCTACATGGACCAGGGAGAGGAGATCCGCTTCCGGGTGGCGGACGAAGTCTTTGTGGACACGTCGCCGACGGGGCCGGCTGCCGCCAAGCCCGATGCTCCAGCTCAGCCTGGACAGTCGACTGCACCGCCGGCGGAGGAGAGCGGGGACAAGAAAGAGGCGCCGTACACACTCGTTGTAAGGACTGTTACGTTTCCTTTCCAATCATTTCCACACAGATGGCTCTGATAGAGGTGGAAGTTCACTAAAATATCCAAAGTGTTTAACTGGACTCCACCTTTCTTCAGTTCTGAACATGGGTTGGAAACATCAAGTCAAAACAGTCACACTGATTGAACCTTAATGTCCAATCAGGTACGTCCAGGAGGGTGTACCAGCTACATGTGCAGGAACTCAGACTTACCAATCTGATTGTTCTGTTGTTATAAATCTGATCATTTCAGAAAGCTAATTTCTTCTAGTACCAACAAAGAAGTGCAGTTTAAAGTTTAAACTGTGTAAAAAGGTTTGTGGCTGTAATGACAAGTTTAAACTCTTTTAGAGGCAGACTGGTAGATGAGCACCGATGACAATCAACAAAAGTTTATTGCAAAAAGTCAGTTTTAATGTGCATTATAAATAATGTGGAGGTGGTCGAGCTTTTAAAAAAAAAATTCTTATAAGCATTAGGCTAGTAATTGCTAATGTGTCCCACTTGGGGGCGCCACTGCTCTGAAAGTGAACAGTAGCTCCATTACCGACTCTCTGACGATACTTGGATGATTTAAATTACTACATTTAATCATTCGGAATAAGGTACTTTTTAATTTAACTTTAAGATACAATAAACCTCTGTTCAGTTTTTTTAATCTTTCATTTTTCATTTCTCTATTTACTGGTAATTAAACCTTTTTTTCCCTGTGGTTTCATTGGACCGTTTCTCTGCCTGAAGCCCATTCTGTGGCTTTAAGAGAGCAGAGGACTCCTGCAGCTACACGTGCAGCCAGGGACTCAAACATGTCGCAGCTTGAACGGCGCCGCTCATCTTGACTTTGCGTTTTATTTTTTTGTTGTTGTTTCTGTTCCAGGGGACCATCTGTGAGCCAGGACTGGGTCTGCTGTCCTGGTGGAACAGCTAGAGGAGGAACGAAGGGAGACGTGGGGCGACTGAGAGCAGACGGAACGCTGCAGCTGATCCCGTCCGCAGACTTCAGGGACGGTGGACAGGAACACGCCGGTTTTGTTACACGAGCGGAGCGTCGGGCCGGACGGAGCCGCGCTCAGGAGCAAACCTGTCGTACTGACCGGGTGCTCCTGCATGTATTTATTAACGAGAAATTGTATTAGTTTGATTTATACAACACAAGTTTCTGAAATAAAACAAAAACAAATGAACCAAATGATTTATTTATGTTGTTACATGTCTTGATAACTCAAAGTACAAACGGATTAAACATATTGTTGTTGTTTTTTTTACCTACAATTTGGTAAATGACAGCGGTCTCTACTCTTCTACATGTTTGTGATGGAAGGAGAGAAAAAAAAAACTTGTGACATCACTTCCTGACAACTGTAGCAAAGTTTCTCTGCTGGCTAAGTAGCCAAAATATGACTTAGCCTGTAGTATTTGGCCAAACGTCAAAGTAATATTTATTGATTCCTTTTTAGGCAACATTTGAGCAACTTTAATTAATAAAAAAGTCACAGGATAAACACAAAAAGGGTCTGTTATACAAGTATTTTAAAGGAGCACTCAGTTTTTTGTGGAAAAAAAATATTTAAGATTTGATATTTTACAAGGTTCCTCCTCTACTTTGAGAAGCAGAAACACAAAAATATTAAATTTTGTGGGATTAAAAATTTTCTTTTTATGTTGAGGTGAAATGTTTATGTTGCCACTAATAAGTCTAAAAAAAAAGTGTATATGTGTCCTTTTTACATCTTGCGTGTCAAACCGGACCACCGGTTCTTGACAGAACCAAATGCAGCATGAAATTGAGATTTTATAGGTGTATTAAATTTAACCAGGACTATGATGTGGAGCATCCTTACTTGATTTTTGTAAACTTATGTCAGCCTCCTGTTCCCATGAATTTGGCCCACAGGCCTTTAGGTAGACACCCAAAATCGGCAGCTTCAGGACTGATGGAAAGTTGCTGCCAGACGCTTTCTGACAGATTTTTAGGTAAAATGAGACACAAATTGAGCTGTTTGAACAAGAAGTATGTCTACAGGAGTTATGGTGGGGCTTTCAAAGCTCAGAATTAAACAGCATGGTGGTGGCTGCATCATACTGAGTCTTTCCCTGGTGCTTCTGCGTTGGTTTAAATCCAGCTGCTGGGCGTTTCAGTCATCACACATCCAGAGATTAGTCACCACCTGCATTTAAAATCAGCAGTAAAGGGAAGTGAAGGACACAGACATGACCACAGTTCACTAGTAACCCACTTGTGTTTGTGAAATATAAAAAAAGAAGACAGAAAGCAGAACAAGAAGTTTCCCGGCATCGCCTGTCAATGCTGCTCCAGCTGGGAAAGTTGATCAAAATCCCCGATTTGCTCCCTCTCGTTTTCTGAGGAAACATGTCAGGTTGTTGTCAACCGTCCCCGCACTTTCCCTGCGAAATCCAGCAGGAATGCGTGACCTCATCGCTCATGCAGCAGCTGGCTGACTGCAGACTGGTGTGACAGCCTGCTCCAGACTGCTGCAAAGATTCCCCAGCAACACCAGGGCCTGGCTGCTCCCTCTGCGGATGCAGGTCAGGCGGGGAGGAGGAGGAGCAGGAGGAGGAAGGTAGATGACCAAAGTCACTTTCACGCACAAGTCGCATCACGCCATCGGAATCTCCTGCAGCTGCGCAGACCCTCCGCAGTCAACTCCAGCGCCACGCCAGGGTTTTCCGGACGATCTGCACGGATTTGCGCGACTTATTTATTTAATTTGCTCCTTATATAATCCGCATCGAGTCAAAACATAGAGAGAGAGAAGCGATCGGATCCTGTTCGGGCACCCATGCCGTAAGTAGCTAAGTGTGTGTATGTTTTTATTTTTATGGGGCTGTGTGTATACATGAAGCTGAGAAGGTCTGGGTTGCTTTGTTTTTCCCAGATGTGAACAATGATGGTTGTTCTGCCGGAGAACAGAGGCTATTTACTACGGATTTGTTGTATTTATGACCGATTCATCCGCCTCACGCCGACAGCAGCGACCCTTCACCCCGCTTTTGTCTGACTTTTCTATTGTCTGGTTGCTCTCCTGTGATCCTCACTGCTTTTCACCCCGATTCAGAGAAGCTGCTGAGGTTTGAGGGCGAGTCTGTCTGTCTGTCTGCAGAAAGTGCAAATGAGTGCAGCTACGGTGGAAAAATGTCCCCAAGCCTTTTATTATTCTTTTCTTCTAATGCCCACATGTCATGAATTTTACAGAGGACAGTAAAATATTTGATTTATGTGATTGTTTTGTCGATTAAATAATCAATTTCGGTAATATTGTAAGAGTATAGCGCTGTAGTAAATCCTCGTGATGCGGTCCTGTAGGAATAGTAAACCATATACAGTCTGTCATATGGAAACAGGTCTCTGACGTCACGAACGCCCCACTCTGCAGCCGTTCAGACGTCATGCTGTGTGACGTCATTACAAAAAAGCGGGGCGTCACACACGCTTATTATACACACACACACACACACACATATATATATATATATATATATATATATAAAACTGCTGGGTTAAAAATAACCCAATTCGTAACCCAGAGCTGGGTCAAATATGGACTGACCCAGCGCTGGGTTGTTTTAACTGAACTGGGTTGGGTTGAGGGTTTGACCCAGCACAGTGGGTCATGACAACTAACCAAACGTTGGGTTAAATTGACTTGTTTAAATTGACCCAATATTGGGTTGAAACTCATAACTCAACACAAGGGTTATTATACCACTATAGTTGGGTTAAAAAAAATTATTTTAAGTTTCACTATATAAAAACAGGATTAAAAACAATCTGAATTTAAAGCTTCTCTTATTTCCATGTGATACATATGTAGAGCCAGCAGATTTTATTTACAAAAGTTACAAAACATAAGTAAGTTGTTTCAAAAGTATATAGTTAAATCACTTCAATTCATTTGTCTACAACTCCAGAAGTATCTGTTATTACACATTAGAAAACATTGAATGAAAAAAAGTCTGTTTTAAAGCAAACTACAAGTAAAACTTTCAGCCATTAAACAAGGAGCATTTTTAATGACACTTTAGCATTTTTGCCTGTCTCCCTGCATGAGGACATACGGGTTGTCACATTTTGTAGATGCGCCACCAGGTTTGTCCCAACCTGATGGAGAGAGTAGACAGAAAAATCAGGCCATTAGTGATGCACTTATTTAAAAAGCAAACAATTTGAGCATGATTCAGAGATGAAGGTTGACTTCCAGGCTGGATATCAATGAAACCTTCTGAACTTCCAGGTTGATGGGTCTGAAACTCTTCTCCCAAATGACTAAGGTGGAGCAGGGAGGAGAACTGGCAGCAGCTGCAGGGCTGCAGCATCTTCTGGATCAAACATAAGCTTGTGTTAAAATGTTGCAGTAACTAAAAAGCATGAAAACATTTTAGAGAACATTTCTTCTGAGCTTCAATACCTTGAGGGAGCAGACTCATGTTCTTGGTCATGCAGAAGGTCTTCGTTGAGAACGAGGAGTTTGGGTTTCGCTTAATTCTCCTGAAGATCCTGGATGTAAAATTACAAAATCTATCAGAAAAGACAAAATCACAAAGAATGACTGAATTAAATCTTATAGCTGTCTCAACTGCAAATAACTTGTAATTAGCCAGCAATTTCAAATGTTCAGAGTAATTTTATGTTCCTAAAAATAAATATAGCACTTAATAAAATAAAATGACACATATAATTTAATTTAGAAGTAAAACTTAACACAAACTTAGTACTGAATAACTTTCAGCACCAACTTTAAATAAATATATTTGTAATTAATAGTAACAATAATAATAAAATGAGCAAACATTAACATTAGATATTGTTTTAGTTTTGCTTTTAATTCGTTGCCGAAAACCAGCGGGAGTTTGAAAGCAATGTGCCGGGAGACGGTCGTTCTCTCTCGGCTTAACGAGCCGCTCCGCCCGGTCAACTGACAGAGGGCGAGACGAGCAGGCGGCTGGAGGGAAGCGATAAGTCCGAACACGTCCGAGCATGTTTGTAATTAAGCTATATGTTAATAAATCGAGCGCATAATTTAGGTTTACACAACTAATTTATCGCCTAATAACTTTATAAAAGTTATTTTATTTTCAAAAAGCATAATATACCCACATTATTAAAGCTCTGCTCGCTCTCCTCCGCCATTACTGCTGGTGTTCGAACACGTAGCCTCAGCCCGCTAAGGATGCGCGCGCATATTGAACCCTGCTAGTGAACTAAGCCCGCGAAAATCAGGGGACAAACCGTCAACTACCTTTTCTTTTAAAACTAAATCGATTTTTAAAAATTTGACTATGTTAAGTTACGAACAAATATGATTGAGGTTATATTAAAAACTGAATTTAATTTACTTGACAAATTGTGCCCTTCCCCTTCATCTATTTTTTTCCCCAACAGCCGTGTTGTAGCAACACCGAAGCTCTTTGTCAGAGCAACCTACCTAATAAACATTTTAAATAACCATAAAAATAAATATCAAACATGTTTGAAATAAAATTCAATTTATGTATAAAATTCTATTAACGTTGAAACTTTATCTTCTTTTTACTTACCATGTCTTATTTCAAAGTAGAGAAGTCCGATATGCAACGTTCACAGATTTGTTGAAAATAGAGGCTTGTGAAGAGGGGCGTGGCTTCTCCCAAGTTTC